TTATTTTTTTCACTCAACCTTTTTGCTCAAAATCATCCCACACTAGTTTGCTGACTATAATTATTGTCACATATTGTGGTGATATTGTGTTCCCAAAATATTGGGTACCCTAATAAACTTATCTGGGGTCAGAGAACAGAACAGCCACTAGATACAGAGGCCAGAAAATGGTGGCACACACCTTTAATCCTATCACTTGGGAGGCAGAACTCCATCTGGATCTCTGTGAGTTCAAAGCCACACTGGAAACAGCCAGCCATAGTGACTCATGCCTTTAATCCCAAGAAGTGATGGCAGAAAGCAGAAAGGCATATAAGGCGTGAGGACCAGGAACTAGAGCTGGTTAAGCTTTTAGGCCTCTGAGCAACAGCTCAGCTGAGATTCATTCTGGATGAGGACTGAAAAGCTTTCAGTCTGAGGAAACAGGATCAGCTGAGGAACTGGGGAGGTGAGGAAGCTGTGGCTTGCTCTGCTTCTCTGATCTTCCAGCATTGACCCCAGTACCTGGCTCCAGGTTTGTTTTTATTAATAAGAACTTTTAAGATTCACGCTACAACATATCTTACAGGAAAGTAGAAAGGTGCTGGGATGGAGTTTGATGATGGGATGCTTGTTGAACTCCCGGGGTTTGATCTCTAGCATGACAAAAAGACTTTTAAAAGGGCTCCGGAGATAGCTTCTTGGTAGCGAGCTTGATGTGACATGTGAAGGAGCTCTGGGTTTTATCCCCAGGACTAGAAAAAAAACTTGGTACCACATGCCTGTATTACCAGCCTTCAGGAGGCTGAGGCAGGAGGATCATGAGTTTGAAACCAGTCTGGGCTTCATTGTGAAACTCTTTCTCAAAGAAAAGAGGAAGAGAGAAGATTTACTGCATCACAGGGCATGATAGGAGGAAACACACTTGCAATCCCATCAGCTGCCCAGAGAGAACACTCATTTGTCAGCCTGGGAGTTACTTTCCTATTGTTGTGATAAAACACTGTGACCAATGCAACTTAGAAAGGAGAGAGTTTATGGTTTCAGAGGGCTAGAGTCCATGGTAGCTGAGCCAAGGCAGGGCAGCAGGAGAGCTCACATCCTCATCCACAAGCAGGAGGCTAGGCTAAGAGCAAACACTGGGGATGGTGGGAGTCTTGAAACCCCAAGCCTGCTCCCAATGACACATCTCTTCCCCAGTGAGTCACCGTCTTCAACAAGTCCACCATTCTCATTGAAATCTTCAAATCACTGGCCCGTTAGAACAGATTCCAGACCAGTCTAGGCAAACTGCTGTTAAATCACGGTTTGTTTTGTTTTGTTTTCTTCATTTTGTTTATTTATTTGTTTATTTTGAGATGGGGTCTTTGCTGTGTTACTCAGGCTGGTTTTAAATTTTTGAGCTCAGGGGATGCTTCTACCTCAGCCTCCTTGACTTAACTCATGGGTTGTTTTGTTTATTTTTTAAAGATTTATTTATTATATATACAGTGTTCTGTCGGCATGTACGCCTCTTCATACCAGAAGAGGGCACCAGATCTCATTACAGATGGTTGTGAGCCACCACGTGGTTGCTGGGGATTGAACTCAGGAATTCTGAAAGACTAGTCAGTGCTCTTAACCTCTGAGCCATCTCTCCAGCTCTTAACTCAGGTTTTAACTATACAAGTAGTATCTACTGGTGGTAAAATTTTCACTCATGAAGTGAAAAGGTAAGTGTTTTTTGTTTTGTTTTGTTTGTTTTTTTTCCAGGGGTGGGGGTGGAACTCAGGGTTTTACTCCTGGTAGTCCAGCACTCTCCCACGGCTAAGGCTGAGGCACACCCGACTTTTCCTGGGCTTTCCTTTGCAATCTCCTGTCTGCCTGTCGGTTAGGGTGCAGAAACACTGCTCAGCACTGAGGGACTATACAGGAGTGGTAGCGGGGTGTGGTGGCACACACCTTCAAGTTCCGGCACTCGGGAGGCAGAAGCAGAAGGATCTCCATGGCTCTGAGGCCAGCCTGGTCTACAGGCAAGTTCTAGGTCACCTGAAGCTACACACGGAGACGCCATCACAAAGAAGAGAGAGGGGAGGGGGAGTGATGGTTCTTTTCCTCAGTAATCTTATTCTAGCTGTCAGAGCTAACGAGAGGCCTGCAGTGCTTACGTGTAAAGACTGTGGTAAATGAGGGGGTGGAGTGCTCTTTGTTTTTGAAACCTGAATTCCAGGATTTGAGATCTCTCTCTCTTTCCTTCTGCATCTCTGTGTTGCTGTGTGCACGTCCATATAGGTGCCCTCAGGCCAGAAGTGTCAGATCCACTGGAGTTGGATTTACAGACAGTTATGAACTGCCTCATGTGGGTGCTGGAAAGACCAGGCTGGCCTCGAACTCACAGAGATCTGCCTGCCTCTGCCTCCCGAGTGCTGGCATTAAAGTTGTGTGCCGCCACTGCCTGACTTAAAATATTTTTAATTTCTCCCTCCATGTAAGACTTTTTTTTTTTTTTTTTTTTTTTTTTTTGAGACAGGGTTTCTCTGTGTAGTTTGGGTTCTTGTCCTGGAACTTGCTCTGTGGACCAGGCCAGACCTGCCTGCCTCTGCCTCCCTAGTGCTGGGATTAAAGGTGTGTGCCACCACCGCCCGGCTCCACGTAAGACTTTTATGCAAGTTGCTTTTTTTTCTCCCTACCCTGTAAAACCTTTTTTACATAAAGGCCGCCACTCTAGTCTAGGAATTCGGTGGCCTGGAGCAGTGACCTGTGCTTGGAGCAGTGACGCCTTCCCCTCCCCCCCTCCGTTTCCTGTGCACCAATTCTTTTCAGACTGAGTAAGGTTAAATAAGACTGTGAGGTCAGACCCCAGCCAACGGGGAAAGACATAGTCACCATATGCACTAGAACAAAAACTAAAACATTTCTTTGTGGGTTCACTCATTCAAGTCCTTTTTTTTTTTCTTCTTCTTGGAGACAGGGTTTCTCTGTGTAGCCCGGGCTTCTCTGTGTAGCCCGGGCTGTCCTGGAAATTGTTCTATAGACCAGGCTGGCCTTCAACTCAGAGATCTGCCTGCCTTTGCCTCCTGAGTGCTAGAATTAAAAGCCTGCGCTGTTGTAGAATATTATTTTCAGATGTGTTACATTTGTTTATGCTGTGGAACATTTGTTTCATGATGCAAAGATGTGTTGTTTTCTTTTGTTTGTTTGTTTTTCAAGACATGGTTTCTCTGTGTAGTTTTGGTGCCTGTCCTGGATCTCACTCTGTGGACCAGGCTGGCCTCGAACTCACATTGTTCTATAGACCAGGCTGGCCTTCAACTCAGAGATCTGCCTGCCTCTGCCTCCCGATTGCTGGGATTAAAGGTGTGCACCACCACCGCCCGGCATGTTGCATTTGTTTAATTCTGTGAAGCTGTGTTACTTTGTCTAAAACACTTGATTGGTTTAATAAAGAGCTTCAAGGCCAATAGCTAGGCAGGAGAGGGGGACAGGTGGGGCTGCCAGGCAGAGAGACTGAATAAATAGGAGAAGAAAAAGAGGGATAGAGGAAGCAAGAGAGATCAAGAAGTGAGGAAAAAAGGGGCCAGCCACATAGCTAGCCAAGGTGTAGGAGTAAAGGCAAGATTACAGAAGTAAGCAAAGGAAAAAGCCCAGAAGCAAAAGGTAGATGGGATAATTCAAGGAAAGCTGGCAAGAAACAAGCCAAGCTAAGGCCTGGCATTTATAAGTAATAATAAGTCTCTGTATGGTTTATTTGGGAGCTGGATGGTGGGCCCCCTCAAAGCGTAAAGAGTAAAAACAACCAACATCAAGGTTTGCCTTTCTTTGTGATTCTGAGCTTATTTCTAACATTGAGGACCCCAGCTTCTTCTACCTATAAAGTGGGATTCTAAGTCAGGTGGTGGCACATGCCTTAAATCTCAGCTCTCTGGAGGCAGAAGCAGATGGATCTCTGTGAGTTTGAGGCCAGCCTAGTCTATAGAGCGAGTTCCAAAGCTACAGAGAAACCCTGTCTTGAAAAACCAAGGAAAAAAAAAAAGGGATTCTAACTTAAGTTTTTTTTTTTTTTTTTTTTTAAGACAGAGTTTTCTCTGTTTAGTCCTTGCTGGTTTTGTTTGTTTTAAGACAGTCTTATGCTGCTTAGGATGGCCTTGAACTTCTGATCCTCCTGCTTCTACTCCCCAAGTGCTGGAATTACAGGTTGGAGCCCCCCTCCCCACACTGTTCATTTGTTTTTGAGACAATGTCTTCCTATGTAGCATGGGTTGGCTTAAACCTGGAGTCCTCCTAGTTCAGTCTCCCAAATACCGGGATAACAGGTTTGCACTACCACACCCATAAGAGTTTTTTGGTTTTTGTTTTTTTGAAACAGGGTTTCTCAGTGTAGCTTTGTGCCTTTCCTGGAACTCACTCTGTAGCCCAGGCTGGCCTCAACTCACAGAGATCCCAAGTGCTGGGATTAAAGGCGTTCAGCACTACTGCCCAGCTCATAAGACTTCTTATAGGGTTCTTTTTCTTTTTTTTTTTTTCCAGACAGGGTTTCTCTGTGTAGTCCTGGCTGTCCTGGAACTTACTCTGTAGACTAGGTTGGACTCAAACTCAGAAATCTGCCTGCCTCTGCCTCCCAAGTTCTGGGATTAAAGGCGTGAGCCACCAGGCTCAACTCTTACAGGAATCTTGGGAGGATCAAATGAGAAGCTGAAAGCATTTGGTAGTATTTGAGGTAGGACTGAGATGTAGCTGTAGTAAAGCTGGGTGGAGATGTGGGATGGGTGAAAAAGTGCAACTTGGGTCCGTGTGTGGACAGCGCTGGAAAAAGGCCAGAAAGCCGTCCTTGCCAGCTGACTTAAAAGCAGAGTGGATTTAAAATGGACAGACACATCCCTGGGAAACATGACTGATGTGTGAGCTGCAAGGAGCCTCTATTTACCTTAAGGCTAGCAGTCCTAGCAAACTGTGACTTCACACAGTTTTGGTCTGAGTTAACTTCCCAGGCAGAAAGGCCACACCCACCGAGTCTCCAGCAGGCTGGAGACTGAGAGGAGACAAGGAATCAGTGGGACTGCCTCGGGTAGAAGTCAGCGCGGGTTTTCCAGGGCTCAGGAGGAAGATCAAAATGGCATAAAGCAGGCCATTGGCAGCTGAGAGTCCAGAGGAGCCCTCCAAGGCTGAAAAGACAAGGCGTGAGCCTTCACAGCACACACATGCTACAAGTTCGGGTTGAGGAAATTTGGTCAGTGTGCTCGTCCTCTGTTAAAAGGAGAGATGGCGCCCCCTGGGAACCGTGCTGGGTAGAGATGGTTGGAAGAGGGGTGGGAGGTAAGATGGGGGTCATCTACTTGTCAGTTTTCTTCTCACAGAAACTCACTGTCCGGCATGATGGATTCCTGGGCTTCCAAAATGATGGGGCTGGAAGGGACCTCGAAAAAATAACTGCCGTCACATGCTCGTACCAGAACTGGTTACTTTCTTGAACACTTAACGCTAACTGCTTGGAGGTGAGTATTATCACCCCCTTTTCGGGTAAGAAACTGAGGTTTGATGACTTCCTAAGGCAGGAAGGAGATTTTGTATATTTCAAAGTCTTCTTCCTTTGGTCTGCCTGATGTGTACGGTATCGATTTGCTAAGGTTTGGGGAAGGAGCATCGTGTGTTATGTGCTCAGGCTTTCCAAGGGACAAGAGCGTGACCACGCCTCCCTGGTCGCGACGATATTGGTTATGGTTGCTTTCTTTTAAAACATGAAGTCGTCACTCTCCGAGAAAGCGGACATCCTATACTCCCTGATCACCCCGATGTTTCTCTCTCACCCGCAGTGATTCCCACAGGTGACATCCGTTCTCCACTGGAGAATGAAAGCCTGAGACTACATTTCCCTGCAAGCCCTTTAGAAACGAAGGCCAGGAGGAAATAGACTTTCCGTTTCCGTTCGCTTGCAATTTGGCGTGTTCGCGGTGATACCTATTTCAACACTTAGCATCCTTTCTCTGTACAGCTAAAGAAGACACTACATACCCCAGCAGGTACTGGCACCCAGGGCAGGCGACTCGGTTGCCATCTCTGCAGCAGTCCTTTCCTACTTATCCTCAGAGAACAGTCTTAGCCCTTGGACTACAAATCCCATGGCATCGCCTGCTCTTTGACCCGCCATCTTTGCGGTAGTCCCCGCCCCTCTCACTTCCATTGTCTCGACAGAAGATAAAAGAGGGGATCGGGGAAGACTACAGTTCCCGGCCGGCTTTGCACCACTGAGTGCGGGATTTTGGTAGTTCAGGCGGGCGAGGCGCTCCAAGTGGTAGAATGAAGCGACCGGGAAAGGTTAGGCAGCCTGCCATCTTTACGGTAGTCTCTTTATGCTCCTGGTTCTGGCATTCTTAAGGAACACAGGGAAGCTAGAAAACTACCATTCCCATCCCACTGCATAAGATCGACTTAGTAGGTGCACGCCCCTCGTTCGCCATCTTGTTTGTAGTCCTCGTTCCTTTTCACCTTTCCATTGTTCCTGACGAGTAGAAATGGCAGCGGGAAGGCAGCAGATGGACTGCGACTCCCGTCAGGTACCACACACGCGGAGGGTTGTGGACCAGAGGGCGTGTGAGTGCCTGGAAAGGAGGTCGGGTCGGGGGAAAAGGCCATCTTGTTTGTAGTCATCGTTCCCGCTCCTTCTCTATGTCCTGCTACGGGGAATCTCGGGTCAACTGGACTCTAATTCCCGCCATGCTCGGCTCCCAGCGTGGCATGCTTTCCGCCATCTTATTTGTAGTCCCGGCTGGCCCCGGCCTCCCACTTTTCCCACGGTAGCGCCAGCGTTTGCAGGACTACATCTCCCGTCGTGCTTTGCACGCGCCCGTCCTGGAAAGTGGAGGTGGTGGAGGAAGGAGGGAGAAGGGGGCGGGGTTCCTCTGGGAGAAGGAGGGAGTAAAAAGGAGGAGGAGGTGGGAAGGAGGGAGGGGAGAGGGAGGAGAGGAGGAAGGAGGAAGGAGCTGAGGAGGGATGAGAGCGGCGACCAGGGCCCGGGGCCGAAGCAGCGCGAGGCTAGGGGTCCAGGGGTGCTGAGACACCCCAACTGCCCCCACCCCCCTTCCTGCCTCTGCCCCATCCTTTCCTTGCACCCTCCCATTTTAGGAGAGGATTTATTCAAATTTTATTTAAATCCCCATATCTTGAGGGTCGCGCGTTTGAAGGGGGGGGGAGGGCGGGGGCGCGCGCAAGCTGGGGGGGGCGGGGCCGGAGCAGCTTCCTTCACCCCCCTCCGCGCGCCCTGTCTCCGTAGGTCAGGGGGCCGCAGTCCAGGGGCGGACCCAGGGGAGGGGGGCAGGTTGCAGTGACCCCCCCCTCCCCGGGAACCGGCGGTGGGCGGGGTTTGAACCCCGGAAACGGTGGGGGGCCCCCGGGTCTGTCCCTGGACCCCTGGGCAGTTGGAGCTGGGAAGGGGCCAGTTAAGGGTCGGGGGCTTCGGGGAGAGGTGGGGGTGGGGAGCGGAGACTCGTACCCGGGACTGAGTGGGGCCCGGGCAGCAGCTGAGCACCCTGCGCCCGAGGAGCCCCCGTTGGCCTGGGGGGGCTGAGGGACTGAGCCCCCCAGAGCAGGACCTCCCCCTGGAAGGGCCGCGCCGCAGCCCGTGGGAGGGCCTCGCCCCCGGCGCTCCCCAGCTCCACTCGCTGCCGTCCCGGCCTCCGCCGGAGGGAGGGGCCGAGCGCCCTCGGGGGGCCGTGGACCCCGGCGTTCTGAGCGTTCCGCGCCCCGCGCCGCCCGGCCCCCCCGCCGCCGATGGCCGCCGACCCGCCGGGAGCTGCCGAGAAGGGAGAGATGGCTCCCGGGACACGTGTGAGGTGGGTTCGTGCGGCTCCTCCTCGCCCCCAGACCTGGGCAGCTCCCACTCCCATTCAATCCTCAGCCCGGCCTCTCCCTGCCTTCCCCGCCCCCAGCCTCGCCCTCCCTCCGCTCCGAACTCTTCTCCAACCTTCTTTCCTATAACCTCCCAACCCTAGGGAACCGGCCTGCCTCCCCCGACCCTGCTGCCCCTTGCAGACCTCCCCCTCCGTCCCCCGCCTCCAGTCGCCGCCCTCTAGGCCCCTCCCCCGGAGTGCTGGAGGGCCCCATACCCTGTGGATGGTCTGGAAGTCCTTGGAAAGGGAGAAGCCAGGGGGAAGCAGGGTCTAAGGCCGGCTGGGGAGAGAGACCCCTCCAGGCTTGCAGAGTCCATGTGGGATTTGAGAGGATCTGGTTTCCATGGGCAGGAGAGCCCCAGGGATTCCAGACCATTAGGGATGAAAAGCAGCCTGGTAAGATGTGGGGTAGTGGGGGGGAGATCTAAAGCCGAGCCCACCTTGAATTTTGTTGAGATGTTAGGCTGGCTTGTAGAAGAATCCCGGGGAACCCGGGAGATGACCCAGGCTGCCTGAGGGATCCTATTGGATATCCTGGAGCAGACGACTTCTGTATGGGCTGAGAAGGGGCACTTAGGCATCTCAGGGGTGTCAGCCCTGGGAAATGGAGAGCACAGTGGGTCATTAGAAATGGGGTATGGGTCTCGTTAGAGTATCCGGATTTGAAAGGTTTGAATGACTAGTACCCAGGAGAAAGAAGGGAGAGAGGGAGAAAGGAAAGTGTTTGCACCCTGCAGTCTGAGGCCAATCTGTGAGCATGGGATGTTGGGGTAACAGGTATGAGTTGGGAGCTCCCTGAGGTAAGGCTGCAGACTTGAAGCCCTTTCCAGGAAGCGTGGCTTGGGATGTTAGGGGAGGGGCTCCGGTGGGTGTCCCTCCTTCCTGGGTTGGGAATAATCAGCAGGAGGGAATGTTAGATGGGGAGGGAGGTCTGGAGAGGGAGTGGCGCTCTACGCAGGACACTGGAGGGCTGACCTTCTGGGCTCCAGGGTAGAAATAGCTCTGCCCCACCAGAGGTGCCGAGAGCTTGCGGCCAGGATTCTCGGAGGCCAGCGTTCCGCAGGCCTCTCTGACCTTACCTCCATCTGCCTACAGCCCTCGGCGTTGCTGACGCCCCCAATGTCGTCGAGCAGCCGGGGGCCGGGGGCCGGAGCGCGCCGACGCCGAACCCGCTGCCGCCGCTGCCGGGCCTGTGTGCGAACTGAGTGCGGGGACTGCCACTTCTGCCGAGACATGAAGAAGTTTGGGGGGCCCGGGCGCATGAAGCAGTCGTGCCTGCTCCGGCAGTGCACTGCGGTGAGTCTTGCACCCCCGTGCCGGGTCCCTTGGAACCCCAGGCATGTTTCCCCAGAGCACCCTTAGAAGAACTGGCCTGAGCACTCTCTGGGTGTCTAGTGGCCGCTTTCCTGAATGTCCGGTGCACGAGGTGAGTCTTCCCCCCCCCACCGCCCCCCATGGCGGTACCTTGGAACCCCAAGCGTACTTCCACAGAGCACCATTACATTAGTAGTACTGGCCTGAGCACTCGCTGGGTGTCTAATGGCTGCCTCCTGGAATGTCCGGTGCACCAGTGAGTCTTGCCCCGCCATGGCGGTACCTTCAGCACCATTACATTAGTAGTACTGGCCTGAGCGCTCTCTGGGTGTCTAATGGCTGCCTTCCGGAATGTCCGGGGCTCGGCGGGGAGTCTTGCCCCGCCATGGCGGTACCTTGGAACCCCAGGCGTCCTTCCACAGAGCACCATTACATTAGTAGTACTGGCCTGAGCACTCACTCTCCGGGTGTCTAATGGCTGCCTCCCGGAATGTCCGGTGCACGTGGCGAGTCTTGTCCCCCATGCGGGTACCTTGGAATCCTCAGCACCATTAATGTTAGTGGTACTGGCCTGAGCACTCACTCTCTGGGTGTCAGGTGGCTGCCTCCCTGAATGTCCCTTAGAGGTGCTGTTTGTTCATTCACTTCCTTCACTGATTTGTTTAAATGTCTGGTTTTGTCTCTGTCACAAAATGGGGGCGGGGGGCACACCCACAGAAGAATCTCCCGCAGGTCTGTAGGAAGCTCAGCATCAGCTATGTGCCCCGGCCCGAGTGTGTGTGTAAGGGGAGCCCATCCCACCAATGGAGAATAGCTCTTGCCTTTGGCCTCTTCACACACCTGTGGGTATCTTGAACTTGAGGCCCCGGACCCCCTTCTTGTAACCTTGAGCAAATCACTGAACTTCAGGAACCTTCTCGGTAAAATGTTTCCTTTGCCGAGTCTCACAGATTAGACAGGAGTGTGCTATGAATGCCCCATTGAGAGGCCCGCACACAGTAGTTATCTGGAAACGGTTTCTTCCACGCCTCCCTCATCCTTTGAGCAGCCCTGGACACCAGAGTGGCCATTCCCCAGTAGCCACAAGGAAGCGGCGTTCTCCTGCACACAGGTCACTGCCTCCTCCTCCTCCTCCTGGTCCTCCAGCCACTCTTTCCTGCTTGCACTTTCACCCTCATGGCCTTTTCTTCCTCTGTCCCCAACCCCTTGCCTTACTTTCTGATCCTGCTCCTTGATCTAGATCCGTGGCCTTCAGCATCCCAGATACGATTCAGTGTGACCATTGTCCTCCCTCAAGTCACGTTGTCTGGAGACTGCTGCCTTTCCCCCAAGATGAAGTAGCTGTGACTACATATTCCCAGGGTCTTTCCCTAGCTGGTCTTCAGTTCCCTGACTGGGCCTCAGAGGCACTCACTCTTTGGACTGCCCACTGAACAACCTTAGGATTCCCCCAGCTGCTCCTCCTCTGTCTTCTTTACCCATTCTGAGCATTCCACTGGAAGCCAGTTATAATTTCGGGAGCACACTGGCCTTGGACCCTGTGCTGACAGTCCATTAATGACCGTAGCTGTGTCTCCAACCCCACGTTCTTTGTCTTGTTCTTGACAATGGTCCTGCAAAGGACAGACCCCTCGCCCCATTTTAAAGATGCAGAAAATCAGTTGCTGAGAGCATCCTGGCAAAAGGACCAAATTCAGGATTTGGCCTGTGGGATCTGAACCTACCTCATTCTACAGCTCACGCTGAAGAAAGTCTACTCTGTAGCTTGGTTTTGGGGTCTCTGATGTCTCCTCTTTCCCAACAGCCCGTGCTCCCACACACAGCTGTATGCCTCTTGTGTGGGGAGGCAGGGAAGGAGGATACAGTGGAGGGAGAGGAAGAGAAATTTGGCTTGAGCCTCATGGAATGTACAATTTGCAACGAGATCGTCCACCCTGGCTGCCTGAAGGTGATAACTCTGGGGACCCTGCAGCCTGGGGTGGGCTAGACTATCAGGGAGCCAGAAAGTAGGCCAGTATATTCTGGGCATACACTGGCACCTTCTTCTATTCACTCTCTGGTTTCTTGCCCGCAGATGGGAAAGGCTGAGGGTGTTATCAATTCTGAGATTCCCAACTGCTGGGAATGCCCCCGATGTACCCAGGAAGGGCGGACAAGCAAGGTAAGGCCGGGCCGGGACAGGGGCAGGGCTGGGGCCGGGAGCTAGCTGGGGCCTCATCCCCAGCTTACACTTTCCAGGATGCAGGTGAGGGTGCAGGGCGCCGTAGGGCTGACAATGGTGAGGAAGGCGCTAACCTAGGGGGTGGATGGAAGCTGACAGAGGAACCACCACCGCCACCACCCCTGCCCAGAAGAAAGGGACCCTTACCTGCTGGCCCTCCCCCTGACGATGTGCCTGGGCCCCCCAAACGGAAGGAGAGGGAGGCGGGGAATGAGCCCCCCACCCCAAGGAAAAAGGTGAGTGGAAGGGTGAGGCTGCTCTAGCCCATGGGATTCTGGGAGCTGTAGTCTTAGCTGGTGGGTGCGTTGGTTCTGGAGCCAGGTCCTGCGTGACCTGGGGAAACGGGGGCTGTGTGGGTTCCCCGAGAGGTGTTTGGGAGTTGTAGCGGGGCTGTGGATGGAGCATGCTCACTGAAGAAGAAATACAAGTGTGAGGTAACTGGTACAGGCCAGGAATCTGAGAGACCTGGAGAATTAGGGAGGAGCTACAGAGCATGCTCAGACTACTACAGAGGCGGAGGGAAGGGCTCAGCAGAGCCTGAGGGGGAAGAAAGGCTCTGAGGAGCATGCTCAGTAAGCCAACACACTGATTACAAGGTTAGCTTGCTGAGCGGTCTTCCTGGGATGGGGGCTTCTGGGACTTGTGGTCCAAGAAGAGGACTTGGACCTTAGTTTGGTAGTCAGTAAGGGCCTCTAATGGAGTCTCTCTTCTTCCCCATATCTCCTTTTTGCCCTGATAGGTGAAAGGAGGCCGAGAGAGGCACTTGAAGAAGGTGGGTGGAGACGCCTGCCTCCTCCGAGGAGCGGACCCGGGCAGCCCCGGCCTTCTGCCCCCCAGGGTTCTGAATCCGAGCCAGGCCTTCTCATCCTGCCACCCTGGGCTCCCTCCCGAGAGCTGGGAGGTGTGCCGGGGACCTCCCCCTCCATCCTTCCTTACCCCACCCACCCTCTGTGGAGACTAAGATCTGCCCCTTCCTTCTCACTGTCTTGCCCTAACCCCACATGGCCCCTGAGGACTCCTGGAAAGAGCTGGGTGGGATAATAGACGGGTCCTGGTTGTAGGAACCCCTGACTCCCAGCAGCCACTGGGCTGTCGTCTGGCCATTTTTCTAAGCCTAAGTGTAAAGAACTAAAGTGCAGTTTCTGCCAGATCACCGATTGTTTATGTGGTCCTGGCAGGTTTGTTAGCTGCTCTGGGCTGACAAATGGGTTTTCTAATTTGTGAGATGGAAACATCCACTTACCTTACCTCTTCTTCCATCCCACAACACTAGATAAATCCACATAAAAGTAATAGGACCCAGAGAAGTTAAAAGATAGGCCCAAGATCCCATGGCAAAGCTAGAATTCTGATATGCCTCTGCATTGGCAATCTAGACACACGGCTCTGCCTGACGCCCAAATCCTCCACCAGTCTGTAACCTTGGACAAGTCCCTGAGTCTTTTTGAGCCTCCCCCAGTATCTAAAAGGAGTAGCCTAAGTTGTCTCTATATTAGGTCACTGTGGGGACCTGAGTCAGAGCAAGGCTACTCCACACCAAGACAGACAAATTATTGCTGTCCCCACATTGGGGACTTGTCTAGTCCAGCTGTTCCATGCTGTAGATGGTGAAACAAGACTTTCCACGTCCCAGAATTGAAAAGGCAAGGCAGCGCTCCACACAAGGTCTCTGGGACCCACCAGCTGTCTGGACTTTGAATCCACACTGTAGATAAGGAAACTGAAGTCCAGAGATGGACTGTGGTTGGAATTAGGAACTCCTCGGGACTGTGGCTGCTGGGCTCTTCATCCTCTGGTGACCCCTTCTGGGTGAGTGGTTGGGAGAGTCATTCTAGGCCCTTGTACAGCCTCACCTGTCTCTCTGCAGAAACCAAAGCCACCTATGGCCTCTGCTGAGGGACCAGCAGTGCCGTCCCCATCACCACAGAGGGAGAAATTGGAGCGTTTTAAGCGTATGTGCCAGCTGCTGGAGCGGGTGCCTGATACCTCCTCTTCCTCCTCGGACTCAGACTCTGACTCAGACTCATCTGGCACTTCGCTTAGCGAGGACGAAGCTCCTGGGGAGGCCCGCAATGGGCGGCGGCCAGCCCGTGGCAGCTCTGGCGAGAAGGAGAACCGTGGGGGGCGGCGGGCTATACGCCCTGGCAGTGGGGGACCACTGCTCAGCTGGCCTCTGGGTCCTGCCCCCCCACCACGGCCTCCACAGTTGGAGCGGCACGTGGTACGGCCCCCCCCTCGAAGCCCCGAGCCTGACACTCTGCCTTTGGCTGCTGGATCCGACCACCCCCTGCCTCGGGCTGCCTGGCTTCGTGTCTTCCAGCACCTCGGACCCCGAGAGCTGTGTGTCTGCATGCGAGTCTGCCGGACTTGGAGCCGCTGGTGAGTGGCCACACAGGCCTGAGTTAGTTCTTGCTTGGTGGGTGACCTATAATAGGTCTCTGTTTCTCTGGGAATCTTGGCCTTTCTTGGTGGGTCTGTTGTGTGTGATCCTTTCATGGTTACCCCAAGCTCACTTAACCCTCCCAGTGGCTCTGCAGAAGAGATAGTAGAATCAGGAGTTTGAATCTGGACCCCGTGGCTCCAACTAGTTCCTTTTAGTTTGTATGTGTGTGGTTAGTATGTGCCAAGCAGAGTGTCAAGTGGTGTCCACGGCGCTCGTGTTTTGAGGGCCATCTTCTGAGAACAGTCTGGTCTGGGCCCAGCTCTACTAAGGTAGCCCTTGCCCTCTAAAGCAGCCGACCCTGGCCCCCTCCCCCTCCCCAGGGTCATCCTCCGAAGCCTGTCCTCCGCTCTGATCCTCTCCCAACAAGCTTCCTCCTCCCGCCTGCTCCCACAGCGTGCTGTTCCCCTAATGGGGCACAAAGAGGCCTTTGGCATGTGGACAAGCTTTCATTCTTTTTATTTTCCTGTTCCCATCAGTTTCTGGGGTTGGGGACACATAGTGTGTATCGATTTTTATCTTCATATCCCCAGCATAGTACAAAGGCTGTATAGATTGATGTTCAAGAAATGTTTTACTGAGTAAATACAAGCTTTTTCCCAGGACTCAGATTGCTGTCAGGGCTTCAACAATGTTGCATCTCCTGCCCTCAGGAGGCTGAGGCAGGAGGAGCCTGAGGCAGGAGGAGCCTGAGTTGGAGGCCAGTCTTGGCTACATTAATGATACTTTGAATTAAAAAAAGGAGGGGTGGTTATCTTTGTAAAGCAGCAGCACCTGGAGGGCTGAGGCACACTTGAAGCTGGCTGCCTAAGTTAGGGGCTCCATGAGACTCCCGCCCTCTTCCTTTGGGACAGGATCTGGAGAGCTAGTCCTTTGCCTTGGGGCTTCCGTAGAGCCAGGGAGGCTGGTATGCGGGAGCCGGAGGCTAATGGCTCTGGTAGACTGTTTGCTCCAGTGAGCTCATGCCCTTCGGCTAGTTTTTTAACTTCCTCGTGCCTGCCTTACTTACTTCTTTCTTTTTTACCCTCCCTCCTTCCTTCTTTCCCAGTACCAGGAATTGAGCCCAGGGACTGGTGCATAGACCAATTCACCACCACTGAAGTATACCCCGGGCCATCTTCTTCTTGTTTTTGAGACAGGCTCTCGAAACTGCATAGGCTAGTCCTGTGATCCTTTCACTCCAAGTAGCTAGAATTACAGGTCTGCACCACCAGGTCTGGTCTCATTTTCTTCATTTCTTCATAGAAAACCAGGATAGCTAGTGACAGCAGCACACACCTTTAGTCCCAGCACTCAGGAGGCAGAGGCAGGCGGATCTCTGTGAGTTCGAGGCCAGCCTGGGCTACAGAGTGAGTTCCAGGACAGCCAAGGCTGTTACACAGAGAAACCATGTCTCAGTCCGTCTCCCCCCCCCCCCCCCCCCCCCCCCCCCCCCCCCCCCGCCAACAACAACAAAAAAGAAGAGTGCTCTGGAAGATTTCGTAGACTGAAGCATAGATGCAGTCACAGAAATTGCTGAGGGTGACCACACCGCCTGGGATGTCGTCACTGGGGAGATGTCTGTCCAAGCCTTTTAGGCTAGCTCTATGCTTGACACATGGGATCCATGAAGAGACCTGTAGCTAGAAGTGGACAAAAGCGGAGAGGCCAGTGAGTGTATAATGTTTCCCAGCTCGGGCCCTGCTTTAGCCAGAGGTGATGGCCTCTCTTCTCACTTGGACTCTGGGATGTATATTAATGTAGTTGGAGCCCAGGTCCTAAGAAGGATTAGCTCTAAGATGCCCTTGCACTTCAGGATACCAAAATCCAAACAAGACAGTGTTTGTATATAATCTGCTCAATCTCTACATGACTTATAATATCTAATACAATGGGAAGAATATAGAAAGTTACTATACTGTATTGTTCAGGGAATAACAAAACTTGTCTCCTTCAGTACATAAGCAATTTTTGTTTTGAATGTTTCCACCCGTGGGCGGTTGACTCCTTAGATGCGGAACCTCAGATACAGAAGCCAAGTCCTATTTACCTTGTGGGATTTAATGAGGCAGTTCCTGCAGAGCACTCAGCAAAGAGCCTGAGGGTACTGAGCCTCAGTAAATGGTGCCTTCAGGTGAGGAGAACCACAGGACTGCAGAGGCCTGTGGGGATCACGGTGGGGGACATGTCTGGAAGCTCTGCTGCATCTGGACCCTGAAGCAGGGCAGTAGGGAGGGCTACAGAGTGAGACTTTGGGGAGGGGAGAGGAGACCAGGGCTCGCTGGCGTTCAGAACGCCCCTGCCTCAGGCCTGCACCAACATGCCTGACTCGGGGAACGGTACCTGGGCTTCGGGGTGCAACTCTGTAATTCCACCACGTGGAAGAGTGAGGCAGAAAGATGGCAACTTCCAGGCTCGCCTTGGCAGTTTATTAGACACTTCTCAAGATGAAAAGACCGGGAGAGTTGAGTCTTGGGAGGCAGAGGCAGGTGGGTCTCTGCAAGTTGAGGCTAGCCTGGTCTACAGAGCGAGTTCCAGGACAGCCTACATTAACAAAAAGAAAGGAAGGAAGGAAAGGGTGGGGGCTGAGGAGATAGTTCAGTCAGTAAGGTATTTGTTGTGAAGACCAAAGTTCCATCTCCAGAACCCATGTAAAAGGCCAGCAGGAGACAGAATTCCTGGGCTTGCTGGCCAGCCAGCCTAACCTGATCAGCAAGCTCTGGTCTGGTTAGAGACCCTGTTTCCAAAAAACAAGGGGGAGGGGGAGCAGCTGGAGAGATGGCTCATCAGTTAAGAGCGTGAACTGCTCTTGCAGAGGAAGGGGTTGGGAATGTGACTTAATGCTAGAGCAGTTGCTTATCATGGTCCTAGGTTCAAGCCTTTGTACTGCAGAAAATGGCTTGGACTTGCTGACTCATTGGCTGTGAAGATTGTCTTGTGAATGTCAGCTAAATGTGACCCGGGAGATAGTGATGTTCTTGAAGCTTGGGATCACAGAGGAGGAACAGATAGTTTCAGTGCAGAGAGAACTCAGATTTGATCTCTTTGGTCTGAAAAGCTTGTGAACCAGTCAGATACCACTCCTGAGAAAGTAAGGTCTGATGCTGACTTGAAAGTTTTAATCCTGTAGGTAGCAGATTTGATAAAGCAGTGGTTCTCAACCTTCTGATGCTGTGACCCTTGACTATATCTTCACGTTGCGGTGACCCCAACCATACAATTATTTTTGTTGCTACTTCATAAGTGTAGTTTTGCTACTGTTAGGAATTGTACTGTAAATATCTGTGTTTTCTGATGGTCTTGGGCAACCCCTGTGAAAGGGTCCTTCCGCTCCCCAAAGGGGTCTCGACCCACGGGTTGAGAACTGTTGTGGTAGAGAGCAGAGATGGAATATGAGTATGAGCTAGAGAAAGCAACCCAAGAATTTGGGAGATGAAGGTGGGTCCTACAAAAAGAGAGTCTGAGGAAGGAAGGAAGGAAGGAATGATGAGCAGTGGTGATCTGATGGGAGGTCACAGGAGAGCAGTGACCAAAGGTGACAGTTGGCTTTGCTATCAGAAGGGCTGGGGGTGCAGTGCTTGCTAATATGTGGAGGATCTGGGTTCTGTCTCCAGCCACACACACACACAACCTTGCTGTTCTTGGCTGTGCTTAGAGAGAGGGAGAGCCAAAGCTAGAGTCAGACATCCACTCCAGTTCAGGGGCTGGGGCCGGGGATCTGCTGCACCCCTGGTGTCTGAGAAGGCATCCAGCATTCACTAGCTGTGAAGGCCACAGTGAGTGAATGAGCATAAATGAAGAATGGGATGTGGAAAGAAGTAGAAGAGGGTGTAGCTGGAGAGCGTTGGAAGTGGGAGAGCAGGCAGTTGCAGGCTTTCCTGTCTGGTGGCTTTGATTATTTAGAACTGGGAGGCAAAGGGCGGGCAGGGGGTTGTGGAGGAGGTGTTGATGTACTAGGTAGACATCGCAGTTTTCAAGGACGTGGGCAGAGAAGGAAGGGGGCAGGACTGGCACGCGGTCAAGGCTGGTTGGTGGGAACCTGGAGGACAGTGTAGTTTAGGATCCCAGAAGGCTCTGAAGGAAGAACTAGCTGTGGCCTGTGTCCGCAGTGATGCAGAGCTTGCAGAGAGCACTTAGTGCTGGCCCAGCTCTGTCCCCAGGGGCTTCTGCAAGATGAGATTTGGAACTGCAGTGGAAGACAGGAGGATATGGGCTAAGCTGGACTCAAATAGGCAGCCTATTCGAGAATCCTCAGCTGAGCAGCGGTGGCGCACGCCTTTAATCCCAGCTCTCGGGAGGCAGAGGCAGGTGGAGCTCTATGAGTTCGAAGCCAGCCTCGTCTACAGAGTGAGTTCCAGACAGCCAGGACAGTTTCACAGAGAAATCTGTCTTGATGTGGGGGCAGAAAAAGGAAAGAACTCTTGTGTGCCTTGTCTTTCAAGTGCCACTTTTCTCCGTGGCACCTCCCCAGCTTGAAAGACATCATGGCTCCCCATCCCCTCAGCCAGGCTGCACCCCAGTGGACGTGGCTGCACCCCAGTGGACGTGGCTGCACCCCAGGGAACCCTCCCGTGCCGCCGCCCCTTTGTTGCTGTAACAAGTCTTTGAAGTCAGAACTCTCACCCCATTTTATGGCTTGGGAAATAGAGGCCCAGAGAGGTCTCCCCAAGTGTGGAGGTGGAAGAACTAGGGTTAGCGCTCCTCAGCTTGTGCACCTCCCTTCTGCCTCTGTGCCTGTGACAGTATGCGGCCTGGCTTCCTTGGGAACCTCGTGGGGTTCAGGATTCAGGCTCCATCCACTTAATACCTATGGGTCCTTGAACAGGGTTTTGTTTTTGTTTTTAATTTATGTATGTGCGTGTGCTTGTGTGAGTTTATGTGCACCACAGGCATGCATGAGCGTGTTGGGTCCCCTGGAACCAGAGCTTCAGGCAGTTGTGAGCTGTCATGTGGCCTCCCGGAACCAAACCCGGGTCCCCTTGCAAGAGCAGTAAGTGCTCTTTACTGCTAAGCTCTGCTCTCTCTCTGGCTCTTGAGACACTTTTTAACCTCTCTGGGCTTTATTTTTCTTAGCTGAACAAAGCAGGTGATAAGCATCTCCCAGGGATGGTGTGGACTTAAATGCTTAGTGCAAAGAGCAGCACTCAGTACCTGGTAACTAAACACATGCCATTGGTCCTGTGATCATCAGCACCATCCTGTTACGGTGACTTGTCCTCATTCTTGCCACCTGAGTTTTCCAGAGCTGCCATGGTGTACTGCTCCTGGGTGTAGACAGATGGCCCTCGTCCACCTCCCCCTTCCCATTATCTTTACAGGACGTTCCCTTCTCCCAGTCTCTGGGTTGCGGAGCCATGTCCTCAGCATCTTGGTCTTCCCCAGTGGTTTCTTTGTTCCTCATGCCCAGAGGAAGCTGGGTACTCCTATCAGTAGGTCCTCCACAGCTGTTGGCCGTCACACTGAGGTTTAATCCCGCCTTCCCGGGACTGACTGTCATGGGATGAGTTGGCTCCAGCCAAGAAATGATCAGAGAGACTTCCTGAGTGTGAAGGTTGAGCCTTGAAGGGCCTGGGAGAGTTGACCTTCCTGGCAATGAAGAATGTGCCAGATTATGTTGGCACTAGATAGCATTGCATGCCTATATAGGCAGGCGGATAGGTATTCTGACCCGGCTTTTGTGGAATATGATACAGAACCACAGTTGGGGACCCGTGAGTACCTTCAAATTAGGATTTTCTTTCCAAGTGTGGTCAATCCAGGAGGCCTTCAAGGAGAGGAGCTAGGACTCAAGGCTGGCCAGAGAAGGCTTTGGATGTAGCAGGTCAGAGTAGCAAGGGAGAAAGAAGCTGACCAGACAGATGGATCTGGCTCTGTGTTTTTTCTTCTTAGAACTGGAGAGGTGGGGCCGGGCGGTGGTGGCGCATGCCTTTAATCCCAGCACTCGGGAGGCAGAGGCAGGCGGATCTCTGTGAGTTCGAGGCCAGCCTGGGCTACCAAGTGAGCTCCAGGAAAGGCACAAAACTACACAGAGAAACCCTGTCTTGAAAAACCAAAAAAAAAAAAAAAAAAAAAAAGAATTGGAGAGGTGTTTATGGGATGAGTGGAAGGGGGGGTGGAGAGGAGAGACTGGAACGCAGAGAGAAGGGAAGAGGACTTGGTGGACTTGGTCCCCCTTGAAGCTGACTTGCATAGCATCCGTAGCCTTTGCTGGAACGCCTTCCAGCTGTGGGGTGTTGGCAAGGTTTCTGTTTCGTTTTTGTTGTTTGGTTTTTGTTTGTTGGTGTTTCTCTCTCTCTCTCTCTCTCTCTCTCTCTCTCTCTCTCTCTCTTTCTCTCTCTCTCTCAGCAGGGTCTTAAACTTGTGACGTTCCTCTTCTTGGCCTCCCATGTGCTGGGATTGCGCGGGTACACTTCCACACCTAGTTTGTTGGTGTTTTGAGTCAGGCTCTGGCTCCACTGCCCAATGTGACCTCAAACTCCTTAGCCCAGTGATGCTCCTGCCTCAGCCTCCTGAGGAACTAAGGCTGCCAGCATGTGCTTTGAGTTAGTCTGTAAGTGACAGTCAGTCAAAACCAAGTCTGTTGGTTTTCACAAGGACGTCTGTTGGGAGCCACTGCATCTTTAACCTCTTTGCTTTTTTCCTTTTTCCTTTTCTTTCTTTCTTTTGGTTTTTTTGAGACAGCATTTCTCTGTGTGGTTTTGTAGACCAGGCTGGCCTCGAACTCACAGAGATCCGCCTGCCTCTGCCTCCCGAGTGCTGGGATTAAAGGTGTGCACCACCACCACCCAGCCTTTAACCTCTTTCTGATCCATATCACCTGCTTACCTGGCTATAGTTTTTAGGTAGACTACAGCCATGGCAACTCCTGACTGGAGTGTAACAGTTTTCATTGAGTGCCTGTCCGTCGAGGGCCTGGGGGTGGGGTGGGGTGGGGTGTCAGCCTGGGACACAAACTGTCACCAGGCCTGGCGCGGGCACCCGCTCCTGCTGAGCCACCTCACTGGCTTTCGGCCACAGCGTCCCACTGTGCAGTGTGGACCGGCCTTTAAACTTTTCTTATTTGGGAGGAGGTGTGGTTTAAGAAGATAACTGGATCAGTGCTCTCTCCACCTTCACGTGGGTTCTGGGGATAGAGCTCGGGCAGGGGTCGTCAGGCTTGCATGGTCAGCATTTTACTGACCAAGCATCTGTAGCCCTTGTTTGTTTTAAGTTACACATTTCTGGGAACCTCTGTTATCTGCTGCTCATTTTTTTGTGTTTTGTTTCTTTAAGATAGAGGCTGTCAGGTGGCTGAGGCCAGCCTTGAACCTCTCACGTGCTAGAATTGCAGGCCTATGCCACACTCCCAGACAGCGCTGGCTGTCAGTGCAGCTAGACAATGATTTAAAGGCAAACTCAGGCCAGATGTGGTGGCACACACCTGCAGTCCTAGTTGAAGCAGGAAGAATATCTCAAGGTCTTTTTTTTTTCCTTCCTGAGACAGGGTTTTTCTGTGTAGTCCTGGCTGTCCTGGAACTGGCTCTGTGGACCAGGCTGGACTTTGAATTCACAGAGATTCACCTGCCTGTGCCTCCTGAGTGCTGGGATTAAAGGCATGCACGGTCATGCCCGGCCCACCTCAAGTTCTAGAGTAGCCTAAATAGTGAGTTCCAAACCAGCTTGGCCTACAGAGTGAGTTTCAAACTAGCCTGGGCTACAGTGTGAGGTCCTTTCCCAAACAAACCAAAAAAGATAAACCCATGTTATACAGAGAAATAGATAGCAAGACAGAGAAAAGACAGTAATACCTCCTTCAACCTATGGCTTCCCAGGTCTCATCCCCAGCTTGTCCATCTAGTTCAGTGGGAATTTCCTGGCTTGCCTTTGAAAGTTACTGAAGTAGAAAACCTTTAGCGTACCCCAAGATGTCAACAGCTTCTTTTCAGGAGAGCTGGGGAGGCTAATTGATCGACTGTCTGGGAGCCTCCACTCACTGCTTGTCGGGCCAGTTGCAGCTTGGAATGCTGGAGTCAGACTTGTTTGGCTTCACAGTCTGTGTGTTCGCATTTGTTCTCTGGAGCCGGGGACCCCCACCCCACCCCACCCCCTCCGCCAGTCTTCCATAAACACTTATGAATGGATGGTTGAGGGAGTGCGCGTAGTGGAAGCCTGGCTTGATTCATTTATTCAGTCAACAAGTGTGCAGTTACTAACCTACACTTTGCACCCGCCTTTAGTGTGTTGGGTGCTGGGGATCCACAGGTGAAGAAGGCCAAATCTGTCCCCGTGGAACTTAGGAACTTACATCCTAGTGGAGGAAACTCCATAATCAGACAGACAGGAAATATCGGGGCTGTAAATCCAGAGTTGAGTAGCCACATGGCAGAGTAACCCTGAAAAGTGCCTGTGTGCCCTATCCTAACTCAGGGAGAGAGATCAAGAAGCCCAGAGGTAGAGTCTGGGGGCTGCTCAGATCTCTTTGGCATTAATTACATCAAATGGTGTGTATGGTGTTGTGTAGCTACCTGGCAAAGTGCTTTATAAGTTGTAAGGTCCATGAACTGTAATTATTTCATTTGATCCGACAGTAGCCCTGCAAGTGGCCTGAATCATTATCTTCCGTTTATAACTGAAGTCTTCTGACTCAGGGAGAGGAACAGACTTGCACAGGGTCTTGCTTCCCTTTAGCAGTGGGGTGAGGTCCTAAGTCCAGTCCTTTTGGCTGGAGGACAGAATAATCTTGCCATCTTTGGGACAGGAGAGAGCTGGGGTGAGTGTTGAGATCGTGGGTTCCTTGAGAGTTGGCTCTGAGGACTCTGTCTCCCCCCTGTGGCTGGCAGGTGCTACGACAAGCGTCTGTGGCCTAGGATGGACCTGAGCAGGAGGAAGTCACTGACCCCACCTATGCTTAGTGGGGTTGTCCGCCGCCAACCTCGTGCTCTGGACCTCAGCTGGACAGGTGTTTCCAAAAAGCAGCTCATGTGGCTTCTGAACCGACTGCAAGGTAGGGCCGGTGGTGCGTCAGGAGAGGGCGGGGACAGAGGGGTGGGTGCCAGATGACGTTCCAGCATCTGCTTCCTGACCGCGCGCGCACTTCTAGGCCTGCAGGAGCTGGTGCTTTCCGGGTGCTCCTGGCTCTCCGTCTCCGCCCTGGGCTCAGCCCCACTGCCCGCACTGCGGCTCTTGGACCTCCGCTGGATTGAAGATGTCAAAGACTCCCAGCTTCGTGAGCTGCTGCTGCCTCCACCCGACACTAAACCAGGTTTGACACCGGGGGTCATCTGGGAAGGACGGGCGGGTGAAGTTGGGTGTAGGCTCTGAAGGCTCTTCTGAAGCGCCAGGCATTAAAGTAGGGATGGAAGGAACTAGGAACTGGGACAGGAAGACCTGTGTGGCCATTTTTCATTCCCTCACTTTCCTACTGTGTGCTTGGAACTAAGTCTTGAAAGGACAGTGTTCCCTAGGAAGGGAAGGGAAGGCCTGGGGAGGAGTAATGGTGTTCAGACATCCTCTTCGGCCCCAAGTGTCTTCACACCAGAGCCAGGAGAGCCACCCGAAAGGGCACATCTGTTTGTATCACCCCGTGTTCTAACTCTCATGGTCTCTAGTACTGTGAAGAAAGACTACGTTTTTTGTCTCCATGCCTAGGGAACTCAGTCCCTATACATGTTAGGCCAGCCCTCTACCACTGAGCTCATGGGGTTGGTTTTTGTTGTTTGTAGTGGGAAGTTTTCCTGTGCCCCACAGCTGCTCGGTCCCAAGTAAACACACAGAGGCTTCTATTAATTACAAACCAACTGTATGGCCTATAGCTCAGGCTTCTCGCTAGCAAGCTCTTTCATTTTAATCTATGTGTTGTCACGTGGCCATGGCGTTTCTGGTCTGCTGGCATCTTGTTGCTCCTTGGGCAGCAGGTTGGTGTCTCTTCTTCCCGCCTATCTCTTTCCTCTATCTCTGCTTGGATTTCCTGCCCGCCTATAAGCTGCCTTAGCAAATTAGGCCAAAGCAGCTTATTATTAACCAATAGGAACAACATATATTCACAGTGTGCAGGAAGACACCCACATCAGTTGTTGTGGTTTTCCACAGGGTCTCATTATATAGACCAGGCTGGCCTCAAACTCAGGAGATCAGCTTGCCTCTGTCTCCCATGTGCGGGAATTAGCGTGAGCCACCACATTTGACCATTTCTTAGTTTTTGTTTTTGAAACAGGTTTTGTTTTTTGTTTTTTCGAGACAGGGTTTCTCTGTGTAGCTTTGGAGCCTGTCCTGGAACACACTCTGTAGACTAGGTTGGCCTCCGACTCACAGAGATCCGCCTGGGATCAAATGCGTGCACCACCACCCCCCAGGTTGAGACAGGTTTTGTTCTGTAGACTAGACCAGCCTGGAACCTGTGATGCTCTGCCTGTGAGCACTGAGTCTATAGATGCGGACCACTCTCCTTGAATTAAACCACTGTCTTTCACTGTGGTGGCTGACGGCCGCCTCGGCCGGCCTCCTGCTGCGCTCCTGTATTTTAGCTACTTCAGCCTTCTTGCCAAGTTCTCTCCAATTCTGGGGCCTCTTCCTTTCCCATCCTCTTCACCTCTTATGCTGGACCATCCTCACCTGATTAACCCCTGTCCTTTCTAATTCACTGGAGGAAAGACACCACACTTGTATTTTTTCCTGGCACCTCTCTGAAGCCATGCATTCACGGGGAAGAGGTTTCTGTGCACAAGCCCTTTTCTCTTGGCTCTCACCAAGTGTGACTGGCTCGGGCAGGGCAGGCTGGGCCCTCAGTGGAAGCCCAACTCTTCGTCTTTGTCCTCCTTCTTTTTCTGATGATTCATTTTCTTCCATTTCAGAGCTGTGTCCGCTCTTAGTTTATCTAATACGCTCAGCTTTCTCACTTCTGTGACATACGCTAATGTCCCCTGCCCTTTTCCCCACAAGTTCGAAGTGACCTTTCCTCTGGTAGACTTGGGCTGTGGCCGGCCACTCTGTAAATGTGCTGCTTCTCTAGGCTGTGAGCTATGTGAAGGGGTGAACCTGGGGCTTGACAGCCGAATGCCCACAGCGGTAGTCACAGAAGCGATGTTTGGGTGCCAGCCTTAGGGGTGAACCTGGGGCTTGGCAGCCGAATGCCCACAGCGGTAGTCACAGAAGCGATGTTTGGGGGCCAGCCTTAGGGGTGAACCTGGGGCTTGACAGCCGAATGCCCACAGCGGTAGTCACAGAAGCGATGTTTGGGGGCCAGCCTTAGGGGTGACACCAGCAGCCCTGTTGCTACTGTTCATTGTCAGAGTAAAGAAGTGTTGGTTCAAGAAAAACCTCTGATACAGATGTCTATATTGAAATGTCATTTTAAGGGCTGGAGAGAGGGCTCAGTGTCTGCTCTTCCCCAGGACCTTTGGATCCTAGCACCCCCATGATCGCTTACAGCCATCTGTAACTCAAGTCCCAGGGGATCCAGGACCCTTTTCTGACCTCCTCTGGTGCTGCACACATAGAGCCTTACATGCAAGCAAAATATCTATACATGTAAAACATTTAGCTGAGCAGTGTGGTGCATACCTTTAATCCCAGCAACTGGGAAGCAGAGGCCAGCCTGGGCTACAGAGTGAGTTCCAGGACAGCCAGGGCTACACAGAGAAACCCTGTCTTGAAAATCTAAAACAACAACCAGATTCCCTTTTTGTATTGTTAGTCATTCACTCACAAGTTTGAAGCCAGGCTGGGTGTGGTGGTCCACACCACTTGGAGTCCCAGCACTTCTGAGGCAGAAGCAGGGGGGGACTGTGCATTTGAGGCCAGCCTGAGCTCGATATTAAGATTCTATCTCAAAAATAAATTTTAAGTAAAGAGTAAGTCTAACTGAAGCCTGGTAGTCCATTCCTGTGACTTGAGCTACTCAGGAATTTGAGGCAGGAGTATCAGGAATTCAGGGCAAGCCTAGGCAACTTAGAGAGACTCGGCCCCAGAAAGTAAATGAGGACACAGCTGAGTGGAGAGTGTTCACCTGGCATGCACAAGGCTCTAGGTTCAGCACTTAGACCCCTACCACTGCCACACACACCTCCACGTTTTTTCAGTACTGTGCAGATGCCACAGACCATGTCTGGAAACTTGTCTGTCTGTGACATCTGGTGATGTTTTTCTCAGGGCCAGGCTGGTGCCTGGTGGATGATCGCATTGTGCTAAGTCTGATGCAGTCTCCAGGCCGAAGGGCACTGACTGTTACTTCATAAGCATGTGCTCTCAGACAGGTGACTCCGTGTTCTCATCTGTGAACAGAGGTGATCAAAGTAGAGGCTTGGCTTCCCTCTTTACATTTTTTTTTTTCAGAGCTGAGGACCGAACCCAGGGCCTTGGCTTGCTAGGCAAGTGCTCTATCACTGAGCTAAATCCCCAACCCCAATTTTTTTTTTTTTTATTTTCATTGTTTAAAATTATATGTATATGCTGTGTGTGGATATGTGCACATGAGTGCAGATGCTTTCAGAGCTGATAGGGGTGCTAGGTCCTCTGGAAGCATTGTATGTGTGCCTAACCACTGAGCCATTTCTGTAGCCCCAAGGCTTGGCTTCTCTCTCTCTCTCTCTCTCTTTTTTTTTTTTTCTTTTTTCTTTTTGAGGCAGAGTTTCTCTGTGTAGCTATCCCTGGCTTCCTGGAACCAAATTCACAGAGATCCACCTGCCTCTGCCTTCCATGTCCTGGGATTAAAGGCGTGTGCCACCATTGCCTGGCTAGGGCTTGACTTCTTAGAGTGTAGTTTCAGACCCAGCAATGTTACCACAAGAGAATTTGGAAGAAAAGTAAGCCTGAGATCTTGGGCCTGCAGTTCTGGGGTGGGGCCAGCAGTCCACTATCAGGGATTAAGCCAGTGGTGTGGGGGTGGGAGGACACTGAACCCTTTCCCCTGGAGAGATGGAGAAGGAGGTCTCTGGACTCCTGCAGTGGCCAGCAGCTGGTGAGCATAGGTCATCTACCTCATCAGGGCTGTGGACAGAGCCATTTGTGAACTGTAGCCCCAGTGTGTGGGGACGGAGTTAGGGTCAAAGCTGAAACAAAGATAGGAATCAGTGTTTCATCAGGAAGTTACCCTGCTCTTAGTTTTCTGTTGCTGTGTTAAACATCACGACCAAAGGAACTTGGGGAGGAAAGGATTAATTTCTTCTTACAGCTTGTAGTTCATTATGAAGTCAGGGTGGGAACTGAAGCAGAGACCACCAACGTACACTGCAGACTGGCTTGTTCTCCATGGCTTGCTCAGCTTGAATTTTACACCACCCAGGTCTGCTTGCCCAGGTGGTATTGCCCACAGTCAGCTGGGCCCTCCTCTGTCAATCATTAGTAAGAACCTGCCCCCACAGACTTGCCTGCATGCCAGTCTGATGGAGGACATTCTTACAGTCTCTCTTCGAAAGAGTCTGGCTTGTATCACGTTGACAAAAATGAGAAAAACAACCAGCACATACCTCCAGAGGATTTCAAGTAGAGGAGAGATACTAGCCCTTTTGGGTTTGAGAATGGTTCCTTGATGCCAGAAAGTAGATCAGGCACAGGAGCATTCAGGAGGTCGAGGCGGGAGAATTGCTGCTGATTTGAGGCCAGCTAGGTCCGCAGGGATTTACAGCCAGCCAGAGTTCCATAGCATGGGTGTGGGAGGGTGTCTGCGGTCAGACCTGGTTCTTGGTGGAGAAGGAACGAGAGGAGTTCAAGGGAGACTGTGGAGCCAGAGCAGAGACCTCATAGTCAGGGGAGGGAGAGTGGAGGAGCACTGTTTAGGGATCATGGGTGAAAGTACTGAGCATCCTACTAGGGACAGAGCGCCCCAACAGTTCCTGCTTTCTTGGAACTGACATTTTTATGTAGGGAGAAAAAGATCCCTAAGGAAAAACTTATACAGTGTGTCAGATACTGGGGGAGGGTGGGAGTTAGGAGAGGAATGAAGACCTGGAGCTCTCCTGGGAGCCTCCCTGAGGGGATAGGAGCAGCAGAGGAGACGAGGCTGGGTGCTGTGGGTGTCTGGAAGAGCAGGTCATGTGGAGCAGCAGGTGTGGGCAGATAATGACCAGCATGAGGGCGGTGGCCGGGCTCTGGGGTAGGGTCCAGGGTAGGAGGGGCCTCGAGGGCTGAATTCTACTTTGTCTGCCCAGGGCAAACAGAGAGCCGCGGTCGTCTGCAGGGGGTGGCCGAACTCCGCCTGGCAGGCCTGGAGCTCACTGATGCCTCCCTGAGGCTCCTACTGCGCCATGCTCCCCAGCTCAGTGCCCTGGACTTGAGTCACTGCGCCCATGTCGGGGACCCAAGTGTTCACCTCCTCACGGCTCCCACTTCCCCTCTCCGAGAGACACTGGTGCACCTCAACCTTGCTGGTAAGTGTGGTCCCCTGTCGGCCTGGCTTGCCTGGCGATGTGGGTTCCCTGCCTGTGCCCACTGCCTCCTCCACACTATCTAGTCTCAGCTGGTACTGCCTCCTCCCCAGGATGCCACCGCCTCACGGACCACTGCCTTCCACTGTTCCGCCGCTGCCCACGTCTTCGCCGCCTGGACCTGCGCTCTTGCCGCCAGCTCTCACCCGAAGCTTGTGCCCGGTTGGCAGCTGCTGGGCCCCCTGGCCCCTTCCGCTGCCCCGAAGAGAAACTCCTTCTCAAGGACAGCTAGTTGGGCGCCCGTGCTCCCTTCCCCCAGGACTCGCCGCCGAGAGCACCTGGACCTCGCCTTCATTTCACGCCCCGTCGGGAGGCCTGGTTGTTTTCCTTCGTGACTTGGCACTCCTCTAAGTTTAATGACTTGGGATTCCTGCCCAGGCACTTGAGCCAGCCTCTTCCCCTCTCTCCCACCCGCACTGATATCTCGGGGGGTCTTTGCTCCCCATCTCGCCCTTCCACCTGCTTCATCGTCCGTCTCCTTGGGGGAGTGGGTCAGGAGGTACCGGGGAGGCGCTGAGCCAAAGGGATGGTGGGGGGCGGGGAAGGAGGAGGGATGCTGGGAGCCAGGGGCCGGGGAGGTGAGGAGTGGGGGGGGGGGCAGAAAGCAGACCAACAAGGGTTCAGGGAACAGAGACCAGTTGGGTGGGATGGGGGGCCAAAAAGGGAAACCAGAGGAGCAATTGGGGATCCAGGTATCCTACCAGATAGGGGGCTCCAGAAGCCAGGGAACGCCAGGACTGGGGGCTGGGAGGGGGGCACACTGGGGACAGCACCCTCTGTGGGGTTACCCCTCCTGTGTCCCCACCCGTCCGGATTTCAGTTCTTTCCCGCACCCTCGCTCCTTGAACGTCACTGAAAATGGCAGCTATTGCAAGGAGTGGGGCCACGGGTCGGCCTGTTGATCTCGTGGCCCAGGGCAGTGGTGAGGGGTAGCCCAGACCCCTGCCTGGCTCTCTATCCACACAATACTTGAACATTCATCTGTACTGAAGTGTTACTTGAACCGGGGGAACCTCGGACCTGGGGAGTGTGACGTGGGGGACGGGCTGACCGACACTGGGCCGGTGGGTGCCGGGTCCGGACCGCCCACCCCCAGCTTTCCTGCTTTCCTGTCTTGAACAGCTCCGCCCCTCCGGCCCCAGCGAGCGTCGGGGTGGGGGACGTCAGCTTGAAGATGGGCAAGATGGGACTTCTCTCCAGCTTGCCTCTTCCCATTCTCTCATCGTCATGGAAACTTGTGTCCCATTTGCCCAGGGAACTGCCACTCCTGGTTGCCGTGGAAACCGCAGCCAATGGACACCTCTGGAAAACAGTGCTGAGACTGGAAGCGGTCCCTCTTAGTTGCTGTGGGAACTTAGTAACGGACTCTCGGCGCCTCCCCGCTCCACCCCTACCCTTCTTCCAGCGCGGGGGGTGGGGGTCTCACGAGCCGGAGGGAGGAGGGGTCGGGTCCCGGTCCCACTCGGCTTAGGCCGGGGGCACCGGGGTTCCACGTGGGGGTGGGGGGAGGGGATCTATCCACATACCTCAGGTAACAGGAAGGTGCGCGGGTTGGGGGCGGGGGCTGGGCGGACCAAAGGCAGGAGGGAGGGGGGCTGGGGTTGGAGAGAGGCTTGATGATGGGGGGCAGCTTGAGGGATGGGAGGAGGCACCCCGGCGAGGGGCAAGCGGGGTACCCAGCCGGGCTGGAGCCCCTGAACCCCCAAGTCTGTACAATACGGTTTGCTATAAAACTCAGAATCTTCTAGCCGGGGCCGCTGGCTTGTGTGTCTGTCTGCATGGCGGGTGAGGGTTGCGGAGGGGCTCCCTGGCGACTTTGGGGAGAACGGGGTCGCTTTCCCCGAGATCGCCGGTCCGGGGTGTGGAGTTCCGGACACCCGGGCAGTGGAGGTGTGCTTCGGGTCGTCTGGAGCCGGCCGACTCCGAGACGGGAGCTGTGGGCGTTCCCCGCGGAGGCCCCGGGATATTTTTGGTGGCCCGGGTCGTGGGGTTCCCCAGGGATCTCTGCCCACGGGCCAGACTGCTGGGGTTCGGTCTCAGCTCCACCCAATCATGTGGCCTCGGGGCTCCGCCCCTGCCCCAGTTCCTGTTTCGGCCCCTGGGCCTTATAGACGCCCCGTTCTCCTCCTCCCGCCGGGGCCGCCGCGCCGCCCGCCGCCGGAGATGGGGTCCCGCCCGCGCCGGGGCCAGCCCCTCCCGGGGTCCCCGGGCGCCCCGGCCCCTCGGTGACCGTCGGCGCTGGGGGTGCGGCCGCTCTCAGGATGAAGGGCGGCGAGGGGGACGCGGGCGAACAGGCCCCGTTGAACCCGGAGGTGGACAGCCCCGCGGGCTCCGCCACGTACCGGGAGTTCGTGCACCGCGGCTACCTGGACCTCATGGGGGCCAGCCAGCACTCCCTGCGGGCGCTCAGCTGGCGCCGCCTCTACCTCAGCCGGGCCAAGCTCAAAGCCTCCAGCCGCACGTCTGCCCTGCTGTCGGGCTTCGCCATGGTGAGGGGCGGGAAGGGCGCACCGGGTGGGCGAAGCACGCGGTGGGCTCCGGGGCGAGGAGGCGAGGGAAGGAGATGGGGTCCGAGGGAGGGCAGGACGGAGCACAGGGGTTTCTTCGGGGTACCGGGAGGAAGGAGCTCTCAGGCGACCGGAGAAGCCCCTTATGTCGGGGACAGGGCTGTAGGAGACACGGCCCCAAGGATGTAAACAGACTGGAAGAGGATCGATCCCGGAGGGGAGAAGTCTGTTCTCACCGAAGGGGCTCCGTTACCAAGTCCTCGCGAGTGCAAAGGCAAAGTGAGAGCCGCTATCAGCCGGGTCAGGGGAAGGGGGATAGGGGGTGGAGGCCCCCCAACTGCAAGACCAGCCCTCGGGGAGATGCCCCCGCCTCTCCGAAGGCACAAAGAAGGCTAGAATTGACCCGAAAAGTAAGGCGCCCGCGAGGAAGCTGCCGGGGAAGGAAGCTGATGAGGGAGAGAGCTGATAAGTGAGTCTGATAAACCGCCTGTGTGGGAGGATGATGATCAGCTAACGGTCCCAGAGTGGCCTCAGGAAGTGGGACTGAAGAAGATTCCAGAGTGCAGTCCTCAGATGTGTCCTGGTTCCTCCCTGCTCGGGCCAGCTGTGCGACCCCGAGCCGATCTCCACCCCCGCTGCCGTCAGTAGGAAGTTGTGAGATCGCAGAAGGTGCTGTCTTGGTGGTTTGCCAAGCTTCTGTCCAGGGGAGCTGGGAGTGTTATGGAGACCCCTAGAACTAGGCGTGTGAAGACAAGCTCCACTTAGCAGAGGAGCTTCAGAGTGGTGTGCTGAGTGACCTGGGTGGAAACTGATGTTTTGAGGAGAGAACTCAGCAGGGGAAGGGTGTGGAGTGAGCCTCTGCTAGGTTAGGATTTCTCCCCAGGGTTGGAGATGGGAGGAGAACACAGGCCTGGAGGGAGGGCATTCTTCAGAACGTACCCTTGAGGAAGTAGGCATTGGAGGGCGCTAAGGTGAGGTCAGAAGTTACCGGGCTTATTATCCCCCTCTGTTCCGCAGCCTCAGTAACTGAATGAAAAATCCAACCCTGAAGGTTGGTCTTGGTCTATGGTGATTATGAGGGGCCCAGATTCCCCAGGGCACCCCACTATTCCTGATGAGGATGACATTTGACGCCAGGAATCCATCATCACCAAAAAGAGAAGGGCACAGTAACCCCCCTTGAGGGAGCCCAGCCCTGTGGCCCAGCCTGCTTCTAAAGAACAGTTCAAGCTGCAGAACTTGCCCATCACTGGGATGACAGCGTCAGAGTGAGGGCCTTCCCTGAGGGTCACCAGGCTGGGTGTGTAGGTTCTGGGAGCAGGGACTTACCCAAGTCCTAGCGAGAGAAGGCTGGGTCAGATCCTGGGAGAAACCAGAACTAAGGCTGGCCCAGATCCCTGTTTGTGAAAACACCTATCTACTATCTGCCATGGCCCAATTTCCCAAAATACTGTATTTCCTCACCACCACTGCCTCCCTGCACCTCCCCTTCTGGCCCCAGTGCGATCTCCAGGGTCCTTGAGAAACAGAAGTGAGGAGAAGTCCTCTTAAATCCTGGTGGCTTTCCCGGGCGGTGGTGGCGCACGCCTTTAATCCCAGCACTCAGGAGGCAGAGCCAGGTGGATTTCTGTGGGTTCGAGGCCAGCCTGGTCCACAAAGTGAGTTCCAGGACAGCCAGGGCTGTTTCATAGAGAAACCCTGTCTCGAACACCCACCCCCCCCAGAACAAAAATCCCAGGTGGCCTGAGATAGAATAACATAAATTACATTCAAAGGCTGTGGATAGAACCCTAGTTGGGAGAGTGTTTACCTACCATTCAGGAAACCCTAGGTTCAGTCTCCAGCATAAACCAGAAACGGCAGAGCATACCTATATTGCCAGGACTTAAGGTAGAAAGAAGTAAAAAAGCCAAGGTTGTCCTTGGCTATAGAGAGGTCCTAGGCTAGCCTGGGCTCCATGAAGTTCTGTTTCAACAAACATTCAGCACTGGACCAGGTACAGTCAGTGCTCATGGAGTAGGTGTGACTAGATGGTCAGTTTTTCAGACAAGACGACAAGGTCTTGAGTTGTTGAGGAACAGCAAGCTAGTGGCAGGATGTTAGGTTCAGCAGCCTTTAGAGCCCAAATTTGTACATCAACTCAGATGTTTGCAGAGTCCAGGCTGGCTGGGTGGAGTCACACAGTCAAGAGACTCCCTGACCTGTCAAAAATGAACAGCTATGATTCAGTTTGGCTAGTTGCCATATTTGAATGTGGACTTGGTGTGACTGGATTGCCAAGGTTTTAGGCTGATTTGGAAACATACGAAGCTTCTTAAATAATGTTAAGAATTGGCGACTACTATTTTTTTCTTTTTAAGTGTCTTGTGGAGGTTAGCATTATCTCTAATAGTGATTAGTCTGCCTGGCTCTATTCATAGCAGTTAATGTGTGTTTAACGTTCTCAACAAGCCTATGATCCCCATTTTTTTTTCAGGTAGGAAATTGAGGGAGGCACTTGCTCAGATTATACAGCTGGCCAAGGTAGCAGCACATAACTGTAACCTACTCAGGACATTGAAGGAGGATAGTGAAGTTGAGGCAAGTCTGGACTAATGGACTCTTGGGGGGAAGTTACAGATTGTAGAGCTAAGAATGGACCCACGAAGCCCAGAGGGTTTTCCTTTGCTCTTGAGACAGTGTTTCTCTGTGTAGCCTGGGCTGTCCTGGAACATAGACCAGGCTGGCCTCAAACTCACAGAAGTCCTCCTGACTGTGCTTCCCAAGTGCTGGGATTAAAGGCCTGTGCCACCGCTGCCAGCTGATATGATGTGATATGATATGATATGATATATGATATATAATATAATATAATAACGTTCACTATGTAACCCTGGTACTCCCTAGTTGTGGCATTAAAGTCACTTTTGGTTCTTTTGAGATGAAGTTTCCCTTATGTAGCTTAAGCTGCTCTCAAACGCGAGGTCCTCCTGTTTCAGCTTCCCACATGATAATAAGTGTGTGTCACCACTCCAGCCTGAGTCTGCTTTTGGGCAGGGGGGTTGGAGTTGGGGATTGAACCTAGAGTCTTGTGAATGCAGGCAAGGTCCTGCCGCTGAACTACATCCCCAGCCCCTGAGTCTGTGCTTTGTTGGTTTTAAAGATTTATTTATTTCATGTGTATGGTGGTTTTGCCTACATTCACCATGTGCATGCCTGGTGTCATGAAGCTCCAGACAGTTGTGCGCTGCCATGTCAATGCTGGGATTTGAACCCAGGTCCTCTAAAGGAACAACCAGTGTTCTTAACCAGTAAGCCATCTCTCTAGCCCAAGCCTGTGCTTTTTTAACCTGTATGTTATAACCAGGTAAAAATTCAGAAAAATGTTAGCAAGTCCCTTTGATAGCAAAGTGGAGAAATCAAGGTCCAGGACACAGGAAAGCCTTTTAAGACTCAGTAACCGAAAGGCATGGTGGCTTATCCCAGCACTTGGGAAAGCTGAGACAGGAGGATCACAAGTTTCAGCCCAACCTGGGCTGCCTAGCAAATCCCAGACTAACCTAAATTATAAGAGTAAGACACAGTTGGGTGGTGGTGGTACATGTCTTTAATCCCAGCACTTGGAAGGCAAACACAGGCAGATCTCTGAGTTTGAGGCCAGTGTGGTCTACAGAGCGAATTCCAGAACAGCCAAGGCTACACAGCAAAAACCCCGTCTTGAAAGACAACAAACAAAAAACCCGAACCAGTAAGACCCTACCCAAGCAAAGCGGGTGGGGTGGGCAGGGGAGCTGAGCATCATCTTCTAGGCACTGTTCTGAGCGCTAGGGATGTAGCAATGATGGTGCTTCAGAGGCAGGACAGAGCCCTGTGAAGATGCTGCAGGGACTCAGTGTCCGCCGTCTTGTGCCCACAGGTGGCCATGGTGGAGGTGCAGCTGGAGAATGATCATGAGTACCCACCCGGCCTGCTGGTGGCCTTCAGCGCCTGCACCACTGTGCTCGTGGCTGTGCATCTCTTTGCACTCATGGTCTCCACATGTCTGCTGCCCCACATCGAAGCCGTGAGCAACATCCACAATCTCAACTCTGTCCACCAGTCACCACACCAACGACTCCATCGCTACGTGGAGCTGGCCTGGGGCTTCTCCACTGCCCTGGGCACCTTTCTCTTCCTAGCCGAAGTTGTTCTGGTCGGTTGGGTCAAGTTTGTGCCCATTGGGGCACCCATGGCCAAACCAGCTCCTGTGGTACCTGTGTCCCAGGTGCCACCGGTGACCGTCTCCCTTAGTTTAGCTTCCAACCTCACACCGTCCTCTGCTTCTGTAGGCACATCACAGCAGCCTTCCAAAGCCTGCCCACCCCGGCAAGTGTGTGGTGCTGCCCATGGGCCAGGCTGGCAGGCAGCTATGGCCTCCACAGCAATCATGGTACCTGTGGGACTTGTGTTTATGGCCTTTGCCCTACATTTCTACCGATCCTTGGTGGCCCACAAGACAGACCGCCACAAGCAGGAGCTGGAGGAACTCAGTCGCCTGCAGGGGGAGCTGCAGGCTGTGTGAGCCTGGCTTTCCACTCTTGCCAACATTGACTCCCTGTGTCTGCAAGAGACCCCAGGGATCTCCAGACCTCATTCCTTGCCCCAGACAGGAGCCACCTCCTATAAAGTACTCTCAGGTAGAGGCCGAATTCCTGCTCAGAGTCCCACACTCCCAGGGCTCTTCCCTGTTATGTCCCAGTGGGGTTTGTAAGCTCCGCTGATTGGCTGGAGGGTCTCAGTCTGAGGAGGCCCTCGTGGGGTCTTGAGTGGTGCCGAGCAGCTGCTTACTCCCCTGCAGAGAGGCGACATGCCTGCACAACCGTCCTCCAAGGCAGTCAGCCCTTGCTTATGTACGATCTACTTTACAGTTGGCATCCTGGGCGAGATTTCACCTGTCACGGTTTGGTGGGTTCCCCATCCCTGGTTTGACTGTTGTGGAGGATCCGGGTGTTTGGTCCTAGGATGAACCACTCCCCACTTGGTGGCTCGTGCCTGTCCCACTGACCTCAGCTCCTCTGGCTCATCTTTGACTAGAGCTGGGGAGGAGGCATCTCTGAGAACCGAGGGATTGCGCTGCTTGCCTGACTCCTTGACAAGGGTTGGATGAGTTTGTAAAGGAGAAAATTCCGCCCCTAGAATGCAGAGCTCTCCAGACACTGAATTTTTGATGCACCTTGTTTTGTTAATAAATTGTGTCTCACAAATGTTCCTGTGGCTGTGAATGGGGTGAGGGGAAGCCTTGGGTAAGGTGAATTGTTCCTAAGGGTCAGGTGGAGGTAATGTACCTGGTGTGGGGTATGAGTCCATCAGGTGCCGACGAGGGCTGAACTTCTGAATGTGGTCAGTTATTCAGAGACCAAGGCTTCTGAACTCTTGTTCCTGGACTCAGGGTTTCATGTAAATTTCTTTCTTGGGTGATCACTTTGTGCTATGGGACTAGTTGTAAGTTCTCTCTCTCATTTAGTCCTGGCAGCCATCTCAATAAACAAGCCTATCTTTTCCATTTCGGAGAGGCAGCTGAGGCCAGGAAGGCTGATGATCTTGCCCACAGCTACACAGTGTGTGCCTTGATTACCCTTATATAGGGATTTCTGAAAGAAACAAAAGACTTGGTACCCTTCAACTGGGACAAAACAGGAACATCATCTCCTGTGTCTTCATGTAGATTTTTTTTTCTCAGCCTCATAATTTTAGAGCACAATTCCTGTCAATCTTGTGAAGACTTGGACAGTCTTCATTTTATTATCTGGTCAACTAAAATGTAAAACCAAGCTCCAATAGTTTTTCCTACACTGTTGTGAGGGTTGTGGCAAGTCTTTGGTGACCAATGGCCATCCGTTCTTGGAGGGAGGTCAATATACTGAGGGACTGGTAGAGGGGCCCCTTAGCGCATCCTCAGCTCAGCGAGTAGACCTGGTGGGAACACCCGTGTTCACCGGATGAGAAGGGTGTTCAACCTTGGGGCAATCTCAGCAGCGGCTCCCGAGTGAAGCCCTAGCCTAGGAAATGCCTACGGATAACTGGGTTACCAGCAGACCTTTCCTTTCATAGGACCCACTGAGGGGTCTTTAGGCCTCTCTTAAACTTACCCGGTGAACCCCGAGACAGCTTAAAATCTAGTTACACCTCCCGTGGGCCTGTTCGACATAGCTCCGGCTCCCCGTTGGTCAAATGGACATTTTAAGACAGGCCCAAAGGAGATGTGACTAGGGTGCTGGCCTAGCATGCACGAAGCCCTAGGTTGGCTCCCCAGCACCCGATACTCCGGTTGGGGTGGCGCACACCTGCAATCCCAGCCCTCGGGAGAGAGGGGCAGAAAGATCAGGAGTTCGAGGCCATCTTCCGGGGCGCAGCAAGCTCGACGTTATTCTGCCCGAAAGACAACAGCAGGGGCCCGAGGAGAAGAGCGGCGAGAAAGCGACCACCGCGTTCGGTGCGCGGGCCGGCGAAGGGCCTGAGTCACCGCCGCTGCTTGTATTTTTCCACCTCCCGTCCCGCCCAGGGTTCGGCGGCTCCTACGGGAAGCGAGCGGCCCGTTACGCCGGGCTCCGCACGCCTGGCCACGCCCCTCTGCGCGGCGCGCCAGCCCCGCCCACAACCGGATCCGCAGATTCGCTACCCGACTCCTTAAAAAGATTATTTGGGCGCCTTCCCTTGCCCGAAATGTCTCAAGACACTCTGGGAAGACTTTCCCCCTGGAGCCATCTCGCCCTAAGTCGGGAGCGCGCGGCTACTTGAGCCGTGCCAGACGCAGAGACCCGGGAGGAGCGGCCGACACTGCCAACAGGGCTCGGCTGAGCGGGCGTCGTTTCCTCGACTCCACCGCAGGTGAGAGGAGGTGACGGCCACAGCCCGGAACGGTGGCGAATCTGCACCGCAGCCTCCCAGGCGTGTGAGCTGCGCAAGGAAGGGGCAGGGAAGAGGAGCCAAGGAGCGCGCATCCTGTCCACTTGTCTGCCCCGCCCGCCTCGCGAATCTGCGTCGCTCGACGCGCCACTCACATCTCCCGAGCTCCGGCTGGCCGCCTCCCCCTGGCTCCGCCCCCCCTCCCCTCGGGGGCTCGCCGCAGCTTTCGCCGCCGCCGATTCGTCACGAACCCCAAAGCCCGGGCCGCCGGATCAGGGTGGCGCAGTCCGCTCTCCGGGGGATGCGGCCCCTCTTCAGGCTCCCTGGGCTGCAACTCCCGAGCCTGACGGGGCGCCGGCCGGGGCCAGGCCGCTACGCTCGGCCCCGGGGACGCCTCGGCCGCCCTCGCAGCGAAAGTGCGGATGCGGACGCCGCGCCCGCTGGGCCTCGTGCAGG